AGCTGCTTGTATGAAATTAGTCAAATTGATTGTCTTCCCAAGTACCTTTTCGGTCTTAGCTTCTATGATTTGACCTTTTTGGACCCGACAACGTTTCTTCAATTAGGTGTAATCAAAAGAACATGACACGTTTTTAGTGTCATGCGGTTAAAATAAAATTCATATCTTCGCGCCACCGTGTAATATCCTCTATGTACTGAAACTTAAATTGAAATATTGACGTGAATTCACTAAATTAACTAATAAGCTTTTATTAAATTAATGAAAAATAAAATCAGGGTGTCAGTGAAGCGCTAATCTGCTTAGTGATTTTCTATGTATTGAGAAAAATGCTTTTATACGTGTTAAATTGATTCATATATGTAAGGTAGTTGACAGAAACTATATACAAAAGATGCACCAACGCGTTTGYTTTACGAATCCAATAACTTTTTTCCTAATACTCCTGTTTATATTAGTAATTATATAGCCACATATTAATCCCAAATAGGTAAAAGCTGGATTTTTCATTAATTTTGGAATCCTGTCCAATTAAGAAATTAATTGGACAGGTTTTCAATTGGGTTTTTGATTTTTTGATTTGTTACTGATATAAATAAAAGTTAATTTTTGTTAAAAATGAAGGTGTCATTACTGTTATTGTTAAAAGCTGTGRTTGGCTTTTACCTATTTGGGATCAATATGTGGCTATATAATTAATAGGTAATAAGACTCCATGCTGTCCAATTAGGAAATAATTAGACTCGAAAAATTCCTCTGACTGCCAAATTGGACTCGGCCACGGCCTCGTCCAATTTTTGGCAGTCCTCGGAATTTTCCTCGTCCAATTATTTCTTAATTGGACAGCATGGAGTCCTATTACATATAAGAATCGCTTTATTTTCCACTAATTTGAAACTAATTTCTTCCGTAACAAAACAATATCATATCAAGGCGAGTGAAGACAACAAGTTTTCCATTTCTTCACAAGAGGCCTCAGAACTGTGGCTCAGTCTTGATGATAAATCTGAAAATGCTAAGCTTATTAATACTTATGCTGGTGAACAATTAGGTGGGGAAAAGACCAATGATACAACTAACTCTGAATTCCTTGTTTCCGAAGAAATTGAGCTGAATTCGGGGAAGAAATATTTCATTGAGGCATTGCACATTACTTTACACGTTATGCTAACTGACTTATCGATGTCAGTTATTGAATAAAACAGTTATTTAACATGCGGTGTACAAGTACAGTTACTTGTTACAAAAGGTATATTGTTAGCATTGGTCTCGTGGGACTAACGAGAAAATTGGTTATGCAAATTATTCCCGTTGGGAATTGTCAATACTGTAAATTTTGTAACCTTTCTAATCGAGGTCAGTTTGGTTTTTAATTCATATGAAAACGGCTTCTTTGCCTATTTAAAAATGAAAATATTAATGCAGTGCTTGGAAAACTTCTTCAAGTATGAAATAAGCCAGTTACATACCTCGAACGCCTACGGCCTTCGGGATGTATAGGCTGAAGATAAGCCTAAATGTATAAACGCTTTGGCCACGGCCACGCGTATAATTGTGGTTAGACTTGTCTTTTTGAAGTGCAGGTGCTCGCCCCTGGTTGTCAAGAATCAAAGTTAAAAATAATTAGTTTTAGCGAAAAAAAAAAAACTGTATTCATAAATCGTTCGCATTAAAATTCTATTTGTAAAGTAAATCATAATTTGATTCGTCTTACCGTTCAGTCACAAAGTTGGAAGCAAGCAAAGAAGACGATCCTCCAAATTCGTCGATTTGAAAATGATTGTACGAAGGTGCTGGCCCGTGCTTATCGAGAAGCGTCAATGAAAACTCAATGATAACTACTGGAACTTAAATTGAAATACTGACGTGAATTCACTAAATTAACTAATAAGCTTTTATTAAATTTATGAAAAATAAAATCAGGGTGTCASTGAAGYCCTAGTCTGCTTAGTGATTTTCCATGTATTGAGAAAAATGCTTTTATATACGTGTCAAATTGACTCACATATGTAAGGTAGTTGACAGAAACTATATACAAAAGATGCACCAACGCGTTTGCTTTACGAATCCAATAAGTTTTTTCCTACTAATCCTGTTTATATTAGGAATCGCTTTATTTTCCACTAATTTGAAACTAATTTCTTTCSTAAGAAAACAACATCATATCAAGGCGAGTGAMGACAACGTTGAAGACGATCTGAGAGTGCAGAAGGTCACTGGTCTTAATCAACACATTTGGAAACTTACAGCAACAAGCATAGATTTTCTCTGCAATGTTCCTTTATTTCCTAAAGCTCCTGATAAAAGATTAATCATAAAAAGGTTGAATATTTCTTCAAGTATTAAAGAAAAGTACGCAGAAAGACTTTTTGGGTTCTTGCASCCTTCTAGGTCWGGAAGATACAAGTTTTCCATTTCTTCACAAGAGGCCTCAGAACTGTGGCTCAGTCTTGATGATAAATCTGAAAATGCTAAGCTTATTGCTTATGCTGGTGAAAAAATAGGTGGGGAAAAGACCAATGATACAACCAACTCTGAATTCCTTGTTTCTGAAGAAATTGAGCTGAATTCTGGGAAGAAATATTTCATTGAGGCATTGCACATTGGACAGACTGCCGTCAGGTATGTATCYGTACAATGGAAACCACCTGGAAATTTCAGCACATTCATCAGCATCGAAGAAGAATTTCTCTCACCTTTCTTCCATAACGACTTTGACCTGAAAAATGCCTTCTACGATTTTGAAATCCCCCCTGTCGTTTCATGTGTGAGCTCTACCAAGCAAAATCCATTCCTTTTGGAAAAACATACTCTATACTCTAGCCACCAGACATTTGCTGAGGTTTTACCAAATTGTCACTTGCCTAATCTTGGCGAAACTTTGAGGTTGGAAAGAAAGGATATCCAGCTCAGACATTATGATTCAATTGGTCGAAAGTTCTTCAAGGGAATCCTAATCTACCCTTATGATTTGGTTAACATAGTTGGGGAAAGCAGTCATTTCGTGCCCTCAGAGGAATGTGCGTGGAACCATAATAACGCGCTGAAAAACGACAGTGTGGAAAGCATCGTGAAAATGTTGTYGAATAGAACAAAGGAAAAATCAAAACTGTAAGTTTTAGGTAATAGAGAAGATTTAAAGGGCATTATTTCATACTTGATTCAGTTTTCTTTGTTATTCATAGTGTTGTATCTCGCTTATTCCACAGCTTTATATCGAAGTTTCAGGGCAACATCTATATATTGCCCCCATTTGAGGGCAATATCTATATATTGCCCTTGAATACTAATGCATATTGCCTTTGAATACCTAATTAAGTACTACGTTCAACTTAGAAATTTTCCGTCTGAAACTTGAAAGAAAGAAAGAGAAATTCAAATGACACCAAGTAGATTCGAACCCACAACCTTAGCTTTGAAAATCCTATACTTTACACTTTATGCTAACTGACTTATCGATGTCAGTTATTGAATAAAACAGTTATTTAACATTGTACAGTTACTTGTTACAAAAGGTATGTTAGCATTGGTCTCATGGGACTAACGAGAAAATTGGTTATGCAAATTATTCCCGTTGGGAATTGTCAATACTGTAAATTTTGTAACCTTTCTAATCGAGGTCAGTTTGGTTTTTAATTCRTATGAAAACGGCTTCTTTGCCTATTTAAAAATGAAAATATTAATGCAGTGCTTGGAAAACTTCTTCAAGTATGAAATAAGCCAGTTACATACCTCGAACGCCTACGGCCCTCGGGATGTATAGGCTGATTGCCTCCGTTCTCGGTATGTAACTCTTACTTATTAACTAGCTTACAAGTTTTTGTCTATGTTTCATAAATTAAGATAAGCCTAAATGTATAAACGCTTTGTTCATGTTTAAAAGTGACAAATGACAAGCTCTATATAATYGTACTATGAATTAGTACCCAGAATCTGTCAGTTCCCATACAGTATACACGTAAATTAAAATCCTCAAAATAAGACAACATTTTTTCATATTTACAAGTAGTTTGGTAAATCAACCAT